TTTCTGTTTCTAGGTGCTTATGTTCACAATATTCTTAATGAAAGGATATCTTGGAGAGCTTTACTACCCTGACTCATTTGGTTTTAATTAACCACCATGATATGAAGGTCTGAGAAGGGAAATGACAGGCATATAGCCTATAAAACCAAGATTATAAGACTGTAAGACCAGGCTAACTTTCTACTCTCCAAGGATTTAAGTATTCAAGACACTGCATGGAATATGACAACAGTAGGCTTTAATGAATATAAAACTAGGTTCATTGAAATACTTGTGGCAAAAGTTAAACAACAGTACAGAAAACACCATTTCTATGCAGCTACTGAGTGCATACAGAACGGTGTTGGTTATTTAACATGTGATGCATACCACAGAACAGCAAATCCACTTGAAATGCCATTTATTTAAACTTTTTCTCAATCTGTGTGATTCCATATACAATTTTTATTTTTCTGAACACTTCTTGAATGCTTTATCTGAATTGGGAGGTAACACATGCACACACACACACATATATGTGCACACGTAGCTATACAAATTAGGATGGGATATCAATCGTTCTCTCCTGGCGGATGGCAGAGGGTCACAGCTTGTGACTATCCATCCTGGTAGTAAAGGCTAAAGTGCACCACAGCAAATGTGCCAGCCTAGATGCTTTTCAGCACTGTTTGCACTTCAGGGAAGAGTGTGGCTTAGGGAAGAGCTGCGGAGGCAGGTTCAGGTTCTCCTCTGTCTCCCATCTGCTACAGGGGTGTCTAGGAGTATGTCACTAGTAATGAAACAAAACATACATTTATATGGTTTTATGGGTATGTTATACATAACTTTGCCAATTTTCATAAAAAAGAAGAGCCATTTATTCAAAGCATCAGAGCTTATAAAGATGGTGAAATGTCAAACTAAATCAAATCTCAGTTCCATGCATGGTAGGAAAATAATATATTACCAGCAAAATTTCTGGAATAAAATCATGTTGTATAGTCTCATATACATACAAAAATTGTTAAAGATAAAAAGAATTACAAATGTCATGACAAATGCTTAATGTGTCTACAGTTGGCAATATCCTTTCAT